CATATCATTTCCCAGGGCATAGCCCGTATATAAAATACGGAATTTGCGGCGAATTCCATATGTAATACGGAATTATACTAAATATTCCGTATAATTCATTTAAATTTCCGTAAAACTTTTTTCATAAGGTTTAGATCTAAACATATCCTATCGGTATCTCCGTTCTCTGGTTTTAGCGCGACGATATTGTGCAATTGCATCACATGCTGCGCAGCTGTCTTAATTGCAATAACTGGATTATTATAAAATCAAACCGGATATCTGGATTTATATCAGGATTTTATCTATGTGGAAAAGATATAGGGCTGAGCAATGTTAATTGTGCATATCAGTAATTAATTGTATTTGAGAATTCTCTGATAAGTATATGGTGGTTAATTGTACATCCATACTAGGCTGATCAGGTCACCTATACCCGTACTTATATTCGGTAATCCCCTATATACTTTATACGATTTACATACAAAATGCCATAACTGTATTAATTTATAAAATCAATTATACCATTATTAGCTAAAAAGGTATATCGATTTTCTCCTCTAATCTGAACTTTATAAGGAAATCTTAATAATTCATTTTTATCATCTGAATTCTTAATATTGGTCAATAATTTGATTTTGTGCACATTGGCGCTAGGAACTCCTCTTCACATGATTTTCACAAAGTCAATCTCATGTTAATTATAAAAGAAACTACTTACTATAATCCTTCTGACTTTCAATAGTTTTTTTACTTTATTTCTCCAACAATCAGTCCACCGACCATTATGAGGAAATCTCAATAATCCTCATCATCGGAGTTTTTCAGGTCAGTATATTATGTAAGAGATTTATCTGAATATTTCCATTATGTTTTGTGAAATCTCTGTGATCTGCAAAATGATCAACAAAATCCGAACAAGCCGAATAATTTCTATGATTCAAGGTTATAAACTCCGTGAATATGCAACATTTATTGAAAAAACATGGAATATCAACTTTTTTTTAGAGTCACTCTAATAAAAAAAAAAATTATAAAAGCTTCGAGACATTTTTTTACTAAATGAGAATATAAACATTTAAATAATTATTATCTTTTCCTATAAATTACTCCTATAAATATTAAATTAAATTCAAACATTATGATTATATTCAACATAATTGCGCTATATTTAACTTTCTGTAGCACTGCATTTAGTTACAATAGGAATGATGCACTTACTTATGTAATCTTTAATTGCTTGAATCATAATATTTCCTACCCGTATATTATGCATGGTGATGGAGCAAATTTTGTTTCACAAGTGGTAGAATATGCTGGCGGTTCTCAACAAAATGACGATTGGAGTTGTAAATTAGATCCTTCTCCGTATGGTTCTTATCCCAACACTTATGGCATTTATAAATGTACTTTAAATTGGATTAATGTGGTAGAACTTACGTCTTATCTTACTTCAAAAAATATTGCAAGAAAATGCAATCTGAATGAAGTGCAAAAAGGAGATTTGATAATGTATACGTCACAAAATGGTAAAGGTCATCAGAGTGTTGTAGTTATTGGACCTGATCCTGAAAATCCTCAAATAGCTTATCATAGTCGTGATCAATCGTTTTGCAATGGACAGCCATGTGACAACTGTAGTGGCTTTCATTCTTTATTTATTGAAAGTAAATATACTTTTCATGCTTTATGCATGAATTAACAACCAAGATGCTTAATTACCAGATGCGTTTTAGTAAAAGTAACCATTTTTATTTAAATTTTAAATTCACTAAATTAAAAAAATTTTATCATTTTTATTCTAGTAGTTGCTAAGATACTTTTCTTAAATATGGAAAAATTTTTAATAAGATTAGATTTTTGATAAATATTTTAATTTTTTTTAAAATTTTGAGAAAGATATCTTTTATTTAAATTCCTTAGATTTATAAAATTCAAATCAAAAAAAATTTATTATGTTTGGCATAGTAACTGCTAAGATATTTTGCCAAAATTGGAAAATGTTTTAGCTTGTTTTGATAAATATTTGATTGCTTTTTAAAACTGAGCCAAGATGTCTCAATAACTGTCAGATAAATTAGATAAACTATTTTATTTGAAGTTTATAAATCTATAGAATTCAAATAAAAGCCTTTTAAATTTAAGCTAGAGATGATATAAAAACGGTTAATCTTTAGAGGATACGAATTTAAAACTCGGATATAAATTAATTCTCTATATTAGTTAATAAAAAATATTTATTGTCAAATAAACCAGAAAAAATAACAAATGTAATTTAAATGAAATAATAAACAAGTTAAAAGAAACAAAATATTTATAGTTTATAAAAATTCAATAATCCACTTTTGAAACGAATAAATCAATACCAGGAATAGGTTTAGATATAGCAAAAAGTTTCGTTTCAAAAGTAAAACCTTCAACTAATCTAAACTCAAAATTTCTAATAATTACAGATAAGATAGATTTAAGTTCCAAATGAGCCATTTTCATTCCTAAACAATTTTTTGGACCAGCACTAAAAGGTAAGAAATTGCTATTTGTCACTTTCGATTTTATTTCAGGATCAAGCCACCGAGATGGGTTAAAATATTCGGCATCATCACCCCAAATTTTTGGATCATGATGGACTGCGTAGATAGAAATCATCATTGTGGTTCCCTAAGTAAAAAATTTAATGTTAAGTACTATTTTATTATCAAATTAATGTAACTATAAAAATTTAATTGGAAAATACCTTTGGAACAACATAACCATTCATAACTTCATTTTTTAATGTAGTACGGAAAAGTGCAGGCACTTTAAATCATAAGTAAAAAGAGTAGAATAAATTGAAGATAAATAAATTGAATAGATTGAATAGATTGAATAAATGAAAGATAAAATATAGATATTGAACTATACCAGGTGGAACGATTCTTAAAGTTTCTTTAAAGACACATTCTAAGTATTTCAAATGTTCAATTTCTTCAAAAGTTGGAACATAATTACGATCACTAAATACTTCAAGTATTTCTTTACGAAGACGATCTTGAGTATCAGGATTTTTTGCGAGAAAGTATAGGGCCCAAGATAATGCAGTGCTGGTGGTCTCATGTCCGGCTAAAAGTATTGTCATAACCTTGAAAATTTAATAAATTTATGATTTTAAAAATAAGATTTTTAATTTACGATTAAAAAATAAATTTTAATAAATTATTATATTATAAAATAAATTTTTACCTGACTAATTAATTCATTATGCGTTAGTTGTTCATCAACAGGAAAGTTCTCATTTTCCTTTACCAATAATGACAATAAATCATTTACATGAACTGTTTCATTTTTTTTTTCAGCAACTAATCTCTCAGAAATATTTTTAACAGTTTTAATAGAATCACTAAGTTCGGCATAATAAGGAATTGGGAGTTTCTTGATGAATGGAACGAGTCCTTCAAGAATCTCAAAAAATTGCGAAGTATTACGACTAATTACTGAATTATAAGCTTGAGCTAGTTCAGAATTTGATGAAGTAGAATTGAATTCGTAATTAAATCCTATTAAAATAATGTTATTATGATTATGACTATGATTAGAAACGTCATTATTAAAATCTAACATGTAAGAATGAAAGGTTAATGTTAATGCATACCAACAAGACCAATAACATCTAAGGTTATATTTGGAATTACTGTAGTAACAGTAATTCTCTCTTCCTTCTTATTACCAATCTCTTTCATCCAAATATCTTTTAATTTATGACCAGCTTGAACAAATGTTGGAAACATTTCCTTAAAATTAAGAAATCAGAATAAATGTAAGGTTCAATTTTTTTTTAAAAGATTGTAATATTTGATAATCATAAAAGAATACCTTAACATTGGTGAAAGCGAATGAAGGATGCATCATTTTTCTTTGTCGTTTATGAGTATTTCCTTCAGAAAACAAAATACTATCATCACCAGCCATTTCTAAAATTGCATCTTTGTTGTGAAAGTATTTTGGGTGATCATAAGTACGATTCACCATTACATGTTGGATAAGTTTTGGATCGGAAATCAACAAAATTGGTTTGTTAAATAATCCATGATACCGAACTATTCCACCGTATTGTTTGGCTAAGCGTGTCGAAGCTTCACCTATTTGTTTACTTAAAAAAGTTTTATAGTGTCCAATAATGAAACTGTCAATAGGTGGACCAGGGATTTTACTTAATGGCGACAAATATAAAGGGTAAATATAACATTTATACAAAAAGTAGCCAATAAACGCAACAAATGCAACCAAATAATAATCCTTTTTTTTTTTTTGGAGTATAAGTCTAAAGAAGTGAATATATTATACTATATATTTTGATTTGTATATGGATCTTGTTGTGTAAAAGAATCGCTCAATTCAACCCATATTTATATTAAATTTCTTATTGCTAGCGATAATGTTTCTTTGCATAGCCGATAGTCTCGGATAAATTTCTACCGAATTTATCATGTGATTTATTACATTTTACCGATACAGTATCGATATTGATATTAATATTGATTTACTTACAAGTAATTATGATTACCCATATGTATTAGATAATTGACGTATATGCATGTATGCAGATGACGTAATCCGTTGAAATAGGATAAAAGTCCGAAAATTAGAGTTCCTGAATAATCCGGATACGACTATCATCTAATATCGATATGAACCGTGAAATCATTTGGGAACAAAAGAACCAGACTAAACTGGTCCGGTTTAAGCCTGATTTTGACTGTAGAGGTCCGATTTGTTCTTTCAAATTAAAAAGAAGTCAAATTCGAGTTGAGCTTTCATTCCGAATAAATTCGTATATCTGAATTATCCGGATAATTCAGATCAGATAAGCTGATCAAGTATTCGAATAAATTTAGGTCCGGATATAATTATCCGGATAAACAATTATTATGTAAAGATGTTTAAGAAAAAAAAAACTATGACTCATATTGAACACCCTCACTCCAAAGATATCATCTTAAGCAGCTTACCATAAATTGTCGCACAGATTCTCTTTAAAGTAATACTATACACGGATATAAACAACGAGGTTTTCCATTATAAATGCATACTCTTTACAGCTGTTCTCATAAATTTTGGGACATCTGGTAAAAAATTGACCGAATGA